GCCCTTCATCTGTGAGGCCCCCATCTGTGTGCCTCAACCTAGTATGGAGGTGTCCACAGCTCAGCAAACATGTCTATTCCTAAGGTTAGATGACCCCGAGGTGACAGTGAATCTGTCAGAGCAGGACACCGATGAAGACCTGGCTATATCACTGCTGTCATGGATCATGTCTAGCTGATTTGAGATCAGCAAGAGAAGCTTGGGACTCAGTGACGGCTCCGACCTTCACCACAGCCTCTCATCTTGGAAGAAGTTCTGGAAACCTTTCATGCTACAATTCATTTGATCTCAAATATTGCTTAAATGGTAACTCATCTTCTCATCCTCGCTGCTTCATCCAGCAAATAGTGTTTACACACCATGTTAGGGACAGGCTGAAGATGCCAGGATACTGGATAAGACCCAGTTAGGCTTGTTTGTTCACGTTAAGTCTTGGAGCGTGGAGCTCCGTGTTCCTCATTACAAACACTGGTTCATTAAATGAGCAGGTAAATCGTGTAAAAACCATGTTTGTGCTTTGTAGGGCTTGATTGGCAGCTGATATAAGTGCTGGTTGAGACTTCAGAGCCATCACAGATTGTTCCCATAGGTAGGAAGTAAGCCTACAAGCAAAGCTAGCAAACATCACGTGAAGCACAACTGCCTCATAAAATAGACCTTTGGGTAATCTCGAGGGGACTTGACATTATTTTCCTCTTCCAGCCAACCCTGGGCCAATTAAAGTTGACTAATGCTCTTTTTGTCCTTCACGATGTGCTGCTGTGTTTTAGACAGCACGAGTCTGACATTTTTCATCCACCAGCCTCATCCTCGAGTGTTTTTTATAGTTCACTTTTCAAAAAGCAAAAATGTAGAAAATAGAGAGACTTGTAATGGATTCCTTCTTACATAATGCTTTTCTACTGAATGGGGTTCAATATCTCGCCAATGTAGACTGGAGCAGTCAGAGGCCGAACCATCAACTTTCCAATTAGTAGATGACCTCCTCTACTTCCTGAGCTCCCTACAGTAGTAGTAGTTGTACTGAGGGTAAAGACGCTTGATTACTTCCTGTTGTCATCCCACTGTTTTGAGCATGTGGCGGTCACCATCAAACATTTACAGAGATTGATCTTTTAGTTAGTACGGCATCAAGGGAAAAAAATCTGTAACAGCACATAAGGTCATTCAGATTTGCTTCCACGACTGAACGACAAGATAGAGAAACAGAGATAAACTGGGCGCTGATGGTGAATCCTTGCCCACTGCCAGCATTAGCCAGGCTCGTGTGGAGCGCAGGATGCGTGCTGCGGCCCTGTCCGTTTGAATCCACCTCACTCTCTGTCTCCCTCCACATCTATGCAGGTGATGCTTCATGCCTTTGATGGTAACTTATGGACGCGTGCATTTAACATTCTCTTACACAATCGCTAACAAAGCCGCGCGCCCACACACAGGCTCGGCACACAGCACATGCATGCATGCGCAGAGATGCACAATGCACAGCGTCGCTCTCCTGAAAACACATTGAGCACATACATCACACAAAGGGGCAGGGATATAAGTAATTTAGCACACTGTGACACTTTCACGGTTTAATTAGCCCCAGTGTTGCAGTAAACACGTCCCAATGACCCCGCAGTTCTGGTTACTCATTAAGTATAGATGGAGCTGAAGATGGCCCAACCTCTCTCGTCTGTCGGGACCTGACTCGTCATGGAGGCGGCTCCCCAGAACCATCCAGAACCTCAGGACCGACCGCAGGATTCAACAAGCACTTATACAAACACAATCAAGACACTGGAAACCCCTCGTTTTTCTTCTTCCAGTCGTGTGTGAAGCTAACAGCATCCATCCTTCCCTGACCACATTCATGCATGCTTTCATGTGCACATTGACAGGAAGACGTAAAGCAGATTCAAAGAAAGCTCTAGAGAGAGTGCTGCATGGCTTGTGCAGAGACAGACAGCACCGTGCTTGCTGCTGTTTCTGCCTTTGACGCGGTGATGGGGATTTTCCTCTCCCTTTCTCTCTGTTGCGGTAGCAGACGTGGCCAGCGAGCTGTGATCAAACTGTGCCTTCATCCCTCCTCTCCCTCTCATCAGCTGGAAGGCTTCAGCAGCAGGGTGCCCCAGATTAACAGGCCACCTCCCTCCTCCCATCTAGTGCAGATGATGCTTCCTCTCTATTGTGGAACACTACTGACACCTTCTGGTCAGACAAAGGACACAACGTGTGGCAGTTCGAACTGTGGGATTTTCTAAACTTCATGATGTTGACCTGGTATGACCATAGCAGTCATTTTCTTACAACCTCTTATTCGCCACTTCCACATTTTTACCATCAGACTGAAGAACAGCTGTGTATAAGTCGGAGTTCAACATCGTGCCTTATTCATCTTGGACTGGGCCTTCGTGCAGCTCCAGTGCAGCTTCATCTGAAACAAGCCGTTACAGCTCTGTTTGCCGTCTCTTCAACGCTACTTCTTCTTCTTCTTGTCCAATAGATGGGTGGGGCTTGTTTCAGTGACATCACAAAGAGCCATGAGGAAAAAAAAACCTGAAACTGAGTGTTTACTCTGATCTTATTTGAATCTTAGGGCATGTTTAATGTGAGTATTCAGGATTGTAAGAGCATATACACCAATCACGCACAACATTATGACAACCCTCTTAATATTCTCTTCGTCCCCTTTTGCTGCAAAAACAGACTCTTTGGGGCATGGACTCCACCATCCCTGAAGGTGTGCTGTGATATCTGCACCAAGATGTTAGCAACAGATCCTTTAGTCCTGTGAGCTGTAAGGTGGGACTGTGGACCAGACTTGTTTGTCCAGCATATCGTACAAATGATGGATTGAATTGGATTTAGATCGAGGCAATTTGGAAGCAAAGTCAACACCTGGTCTACAACAATGCTTAGGTAGGTGGTACGTGTCAAAGTAACATCCACATGGATGGCAGGACCCAAGGTTTCCAGCAGAACATTGCCCCAAACATCACACTGCCTCTGCTGGCTTGTTTTCTTCCCATAGTGCTGCCAGGTGTTCCTCAGGTTAGTGACGCACATGCACCCGGCTATCTGCATGATATAAAAGAAAACGTGATTCATCAGACCAGACCAGCATGAGTCAGCATGGGCACCCTGACTGGTCTGCAGCATACAAACTGTGATGATTCTGACACCCTTCGATCAAAGCCAGCATTTATTTTTCCAGCAGCTTCGGAGATGCTCTGACCCAGTCATCTATCTGAACTCACTCAAATCCTCATGCTTGTCCATTTTTCCTGCTTCTAAGCACATGAACTTTGAAATAAAATGTTCACTTGCTTCCAAATATATCCCAGTCTTATTCAGATGTGCCAGTGGTCATAATGTTATACCCGATTGGTGCATATATGACATAGAAAATATGGTAAATATTGATTTACAATGGTACCTTTGAATTCCAGGCTGCACTGCTGCATCTGATCAATACTCCCGATAGATCAATCAGAGGCTGCAGTGGTTTCTTGTATGTGGTAAGTGGTACATCAGCGCCAATTCTCAATCAATATCAGAATGTGGTGTTAATCTAGTGATTGGCCCTCTGGCAGAAACACATGACTGAGAGTTTGAACAGCACAGCAGAGCAAAGAGCCATTATCCAACAACACTAGATCAGCAAATACCTTCAAATTACGTTACTTTTTTCCCTCCATCACAGAGGAGCGTAGCCTGGCTCGCCGCACCTCAGAGGTCACTTTGGGTTGAGCACCGTCAGGGACTTTCTCTCTTTGTTCAGTGGCGTATTATGTAAGATTGTATCTGGGCTTTTTGTGCATGCTAGGCCAAATCTAATAGGATATAACAGTTCTATGCAAAGCTCAAATTTTTCTTTTTTCATCTAAAGCTGCAAAATCAAAAGAAGTTAGCTTGACTCAAGCTGAGCAGTGCACAGTGATACTGTAATCACTTCAAAGCACAGACGCTTTCCTTTTCCTTCTTCTTTAAAAGTATAGAAAGAACAGTGAAGCTAACACTAGCATATGAAGGTCAGGCCACGGTGATGTGAATGTGCAGATTAGACTCTTCAAATCAAATGACACAAAGTCTTTAATCAGTTGTACATGCATTGGCACAATATCACATTTTTATTTCTTTTTCTTTTTAGCTGTGATGTGAAAAAAAGAACCGTGATGCATAAAAAGGTTAAAAAAAACAAATGAAAAACATGTACGCTGATGCGCCAGGACTACGCATACTTTTTTTATCTTTTATGAATGTTGCAAGCACCTCTCTTTACAATACTGTTGGCAAGTCATCATTTAAAAACATGTTTGCAAAGATAAAAAACAAAGAGCACGGTAAACGCAATGCAAAGCAGGATCTCCTTCAGTTAATCAAACCTAATTTACACGTACGAAGGGACGTCTGATTGGATGGATCGTACACACGCATAAAAAAGAAAACCAAAAATCACATCAAATACATCAATGCTGACAAACTGTTTTTTGTTTTTTACTTACAGCAAAGAAGAAGACACAGTGGAATAAGGACAGAGGGGTGACATGAAGGACAAGAAGGGAGGACGGGGAACACAACATAAAAACTGCATGAAATGGAACGATTTACAGATTTGAGTCTTTTGTGACTCCACCAGCACATAAAAAAGCAGCTCGAACCTGGGAGGTGGAGGTTTCTTTCTTTTCTTTTTTAAACCTAAAGTCTGGAAGTTTGAGGCACTGTCAGAGAAATGGCAACATGACAGGAGGCAGACAGAAGAATCACAAACCACACAGACGTCTGTATGTACAGGGCAGCTCTCTTTGTCGTAAATTTAAACTGTCGTGTTTGCCTTGCTGATCGGTTTGGAGTAGGGCTGCCACGATTACGTCGACTATCAAAATCGTCGACGACTAATTTAATAGTCGACGCGTCGCAATAAGCTGTACGTTTTACGTCCAATGGATGATGATCTGATTAGTCGACTAATCGCAAAAATAATCGGTGACTAGTCGACTATCAAAATAATCGTTTGTGGCAGCCCTACTTTGGAGTTAAATAAAATGTAGTGCTGGAAAAAAAGATAATCCTAAAAGACCAAGAGTTTGTTTAGTACAGTGCCCTTCAATAAATCCTCTGGGGTGCTTTAATCTCATGGTGTTCATAATATAACTACTCACATAATATTGATTCTGTTGCACTTTTTAAACTAAATTAAAGTTGGTCTGGGGTCCCTGGGGATCCCAATACAGATCTATCAGGCTCTGTACGAGCATGAAATTCAAGTGTAACTGGTGCGTCTGGAGAGGCAAATCAAACACACTGCTGATGGCGTTAGTGTTTCTCACTCACACATTCGCTGACCCGCTTCATTTCTCCCGCTCCTGGTGCTAACCCAGTACAGAGTATGGCTTCACTGCGTTGATATTGTTCAGGACTTTCTGTCCCCCCCCCCAAAACCCCTCCATCAGCCGAGGCATTGTCTAGTCTCAGAAAGGCACGCGACTGAGCTCTGTGGTTCACAGTTTGCTAATGCTCTGGTTCTTCACCTTTCTGTTTAGCAGCACTTTGCATTGATCTCCGTTCCAGAGAAAATGACACTTTGTGACCTTGTCGATAAGATACATATACATATTTACAGAGAAGATCGTCTCCTTATAGCAGAAGGGTCAGTTTATGTATTTGCAACTTGTGCACAGAGGGAGTGAAATGAGATGTGTATGTGTGTTGCAGTAGTAGTAAAATGTACAAAAATACCACATGGAAAAGGACACTGAGAAAGACAAACGCAGCAGAGATGATGGTTTTTGTATGTGGCCGTGTTTTTCATTTACGAGTGTTTGATTGTGTATTTGCCTTTCTGCAGCTGGGAGATGTACAGCTTTGACTTGGTACCATCCAGTCGTTTGAACCACACCTCATCATTGTTGATGGTGGTGATGATGGCACTGCATGACACACAAAAAACAACAACAACAACAACGTCAGTGAACAATCGCCCCCCAGTCCTCTCAGATGCCAAAGACGTGTGTGATGACTGTGTGCAAACACACAGGAGGACGCAGCTTCTAAGCAGGAAGCCAAAGTCAAACCTGCTCTGTAATGCTCAGCAGGCTTCTGGTTAGAAAACAATAAAGATTTAATAGATGCGTCCTAAACATGTTCTTGATTAGTTTATCAGTGTTTCACATTGTCGTTCAGGGTTTTTGGCCCTCGTCTTTACAACAGAGCCTCGTGGCCATTCGTTTATGCACAGCTGTCCTAAATATCCTGCCACAGCATATCAATCACTTTGATATAATCTCTGGACTTGTGACTGGGCAAACGGATTCTTTCCATCACACCTCCACCACTGTGCGTTTGGTATGAGGCATTTGTGCTGATATGTTGGATCTGTGCATTACGGTCAAACATCTCCACTTTGGTCTCATCTGTCCAAAGGACATTACTCCAGACGTCTTCGCACACCTAAACCCTGCTGCACAGTGAAAGTATCTAAACTGTTGGAGGCATCGTGGTGGCGCTCCATCTTTTATATACAGTCTATAGTGCAGAAGTGACCTCACTTACTCTCCCTGAGCCGTTAGCTTGCACACTTTCTATAAGCAGAGAAAAAACACTAACACCAAAAAACACTGCTCTAATACAGACATTATACAATCAAGTGGACAGACGGGTTGAAACTAGGATGAGCAGGAGCGAGTAGATGAGCTTAATTGAAAAACAGCAACAAACCATTTCATATATTCCACTGAATGGCCAAAGTTTCCTAAAGACAGTTATAAAAACACACTTTCTTCCTAATGGAATAATATGCAGATACAATTTAAACCTCCTTTTTAAATTACAATTATTTCATGAACAGTTACTTAATAATAAGAGTTTTTATTTTGTTATCATTGGGTTACTTCTGTGTTCCAATCATTAGCAAATAATAGTGAAGAATGAAGAAAACTGACCATAAAACTGGCAGAACAATTTAATAAGTAGTGGCCTAATTTGTGGTTTAATAAGTTTAATAATGAGTTCTAAATCTAAAATAACAAAGAGTGTACACAGATTTATAAATCTGAGACCGTGTGTCCACACTTTGGATCTCACAGATCTGAGCTGCAAACATACGAGCGTTTCATACACCCAGCCTCAGGTGTCTACAGGTCATCCCTGATGCAGGAGAACAAAAATAACTGGATCGTTGCGAGTCCAGAGCTGCACAGGAGGACTAAAACCTAAATAACAACATGAACATTTTATCCTTCTGATGTTTTGACCAGTTAATGAATAGCTGTCCAAGTATATCAGGTGTCTGTGTTTAGCAGTGCTGGTCATGTGAGCACTTCTCCTGGCTTTTATTTCAGCAGCTCATTTGCTGCTCTGACTGGCTCCTTGTTGCAGCATTACTGGAAACACGATTCATTCTACACATGGATGAAACGGCTTGTACTTCTGTCACTGTTGCAGTATCCTTTTACTGTACTACTGTTACATGAGATCTGGAAGTGGAATATACTGTAGATTAGTCATTTCTAACCCTGGTAAAGGGTTTAAAAAAGGACCAGATGTTTAACTGCTTGTAAATTGCTTCATCATCCTTCTGTAAAACGTTTCATTCAGTCCTTTATTAGAAGAGCTTCCTCTACGACTGCAGTACAGCAGATATGTTGAGCACCTTTTCTGTGAAAGGCAGACACAGGAAGAATTTGTTCACACCTGCATAAAACAAATGAGTTTCTACTACAGACAAGGAAGTGATGTTCAGGTTCATTACTGAGCTGCTTCCACAGGAAGGATCTCATCACATGGTCAGAGCTACTCCAACTACACTGTCGTCCTCGGCCTGCTGAAGATGGTAGTTCAAGAGCACAGTGCTGGAACACATCTGCAGAAAACAGCTGCATTTGTTGTTACAGTTCTTAATACTTAACTTGGCCCCTGTGTATTTGTATAAGTTTAAGTACATTACCTGTAATAATTATAATAATGGATTGCATTTATATAGCGCGTTTCAAGGCACCCAAAGCGCTTTACAATTCCACTATTCATTCACTCTCACATTCACACACTGGTGGAGGCAGCTACAGTCGTAGCCACAGCTGCCCTGGGGTATATTGTCTGGTGTGCATGGCTGCCATATCACAGCTCTAACTGCTCATAACAGCCACCTGCTTGTTTCGCCACTCAGTGGTGGCGGTAAAAGCGAGGGGGAGGTGATGTGGCATCATTGCGTGCCTTCAACTGACAGCGCATCGTTTCCAGACGGCACGCAGGGCGCGATGCAGAATGTGCAGCCACATTCAGCCTCGTAGGCACATTGTCTCCCCAGCATGTGACTAGAGAGCCATTCAGTCACGTAGCCTTGCACAGTGTGTCACGAGCAGACGCACACACATTCAGAATTCATACTAGAAGCTGTTTCCAATAAACCCCCTTCCCACACACCTAGTTGGGTACTCGTCCTTCCTGTTGATACAGATGGCCTGTCCCCTGGAGTACCACTGGTTGTCATAGAAAAGTCGACCGTCCTCGGAGCGTGCCACGTGGTGATGTCTGTCAGGCTTTACTGCAGGCACTGGAGAAGGAGCAGGAAAGAGAGGAAGAGACGGAGAGGTTTCAAGACAAGCGACGGGGACAGAGTAAGGTTAAAAGAAATAAAAAGTCTTCTAAAAAAGGAGGGAGTCTCCTCTGAGCACAAAGTACTGAGTCAAAACCCCTCGTGTGTAAGTGCGGGTCGATCGCCACACTCAGCCAGGTATCGACTGTAACCAAGGACGAGGAGAAACTCTTACCATCCACCTTCACCCTGTGGGGCCCCAGTGATGCCATTGCCTGTGAGGGGAGGACACAGACACAACTTGCAAGGTTAAATCACAGCTTGGACACATTCAGCAGGTGACAAACTCTGCTTTCAGAAGAATACCTTTCTTATTGCAGTCCAGTCTTCAAGGATATCCAGGTCTTGCAGCATGTAAACAATATAAGGCCGTGATAGAAGTTGAGGAAAAAAACAGGAAAAACAAACAAAACATTGGTTTTAACAGCACGTCTGTGTGTGGAGATGAATGAGACAAGGACAGAACAGCAGCGAAGGATATCAGAAACAACAACGGGCTTCTTCTTCTTGACCGGGCAGAACGGGTCCTTTTTCTTGTTCTTCCGTGAGTGCAATCCATCATTCCACAACTCTGCAGAACGGAGAGAGAGCGGAAAACAGCTGTGCGTTTGACCACTTCCTTCTACACTGCTCAAAACAACACATCAGATTTCAACAAGGATCAAAATCATGCTGGATATCTATACTCATAAGAACAGGAAGGCTCCACCAGACAATGTCCATCCCTCAGGCCACCTGTGTAGGATCACCTACGAGCAGTGACACTGACCCTGGTCGAATGCAAAACTAGTGAAACAACAGTCCTGTTTTGGGGTTGTCTGTTTTGAAACAGTGTAGATTAACCTGACAATAAACTCATCCGATGTCATTACTTGGATTATAAATCAGATGAGCAGTGCAGCTGTGGGTCCCCGCAGGTCATCACGAGGATTGCAGAATTAAAGCTGTACCCGTCCATCTTTTATTTACAGTATAGTACAGCTAGGCAACCTAAATGTGAGTCACCATCAGTGTTGGTCAAGTTACTTGAAAAATAATGAGTAACTAATTACTGATTACTTCCCCCAAAAAG